TCATAGCAGGTGTTAGGAGAAAACAAAATTGTATTTGTAAACAAGACGTTCGAGAAGTAATAGAAAGAGGAGACCAATCCTCCAGACATAAGGTTCACCCAAGGTCAGGCTATGACTCTTTCAAGGAGAAGTGAAAGAAAAGATGGTACATATGATATTCATCTCATCTCCAGACTCAGCTGAGTCTGGTCCGAATATGAAGACAGGAGTCCATGCAACTCTCTTCCGCGTAACGTTCGAAAAGTGCCACGAAGATCGTTGGATGAAAGACATATTGCACGCCCAAGGCACGGGCAAAAAGCGATCCGTTACTCTTACAGAAATAGGTAACGCATGTTTCCTATAACAACAACTTCATGTCTAGCTCTGGGTCGGGTCGACGGCTCACACCCTCTTCGTTGTACTCGTCTCTCGTGTGGAATACATGGGCGCGCATAATTCCACCCATGGCTACAAGGTTCACTTGGAGCGTCGGACTTGACTCGAATGGAACTCGGGAGCTCCAGTTCTGGATAAGGGGCGAAGAGCATGGGATCTGTCCTCGTTGCAAGTCCCTGTCAGGACCGTGCAGGGAAAGGTTTCGAGCGTAGTCCATGGTTGGCATCTGAGAAACTGTAATTTATGTTGTGAGCCGGACAGAGCAGACGAGACGAGGATAAGTAGCAGGTCCAAGGAGTAGGCCGAGCGTGGTAACAGGGGGCTGATTATATATAGGAAGCACTCCAGGGACTTGATTAAATATAGAAAGGGGAACATGTAAGTCTTCGTAAATGGTAAGGGTCATGATGATGATGATGATGATAATGATGATGAACATTCTTATGAAATACTGTGAGCGATCTCATTGTTGTGGGTGTGCGCGAGCGTGAGAGAGAGAGAGAGATCGGTTTGCACAGTGAGCATCTTGGCCATGTGGCGTCAAAACCCAGAGCAATGAAGGAGTGGTGTGCGTGGAGAGCAGATTCTCCATCTTGCGAGCCAGTCGAGTGAGTGTGGGAGGAGGGTCGAGCACGAGTGTGTCGTATGGGTATGTCGTCTTCAGACTCTCGGGAGGAGACGCTTGTGGGAAGCAAGGAGCAGCGATGGAGGACCCGAAGGGGAAAAACGGCACAAAACTCCAAACCCTCGCCTCCGCGATGCTCGCAGCGCGGCGTGACTTACGGCCGGCCTGCCTGGTTACGGACAGCGCCACCAGTTAAAGGCCGGATGCCTCGTTGCAAGGCACGCATTGCATGGTCCGCGAAGGCGAAGGGGACGAAAGAGCATATCCTCGCTCATAATCTCGGCCGAATATCGCTCCTTGTTCCCTTGCTCATTACTCCGCTGCCACTGTTGGCCTGTACGTGTACGCATACTACTGAGTCGTCGATGCTCCTCCCATCGTCGCCACCTCCGCACACAGTAGCTCTTCTCGCCTCTCCCCTGCTCTCGCGTCTCGAGAGCCGCGACGCACGGCAGCAGCAGCAGCAGCACGAGTGCACAATCTGAGGCCAAACGCTGCCTCGCTCTCCTGAGTCCCTAAGTGCCCTCCCCGCGCTTTCCTGCGCTCCCAACTGGTTCTCACTCGCTCCCTCGCCGCAGCAGCAGCTCCGCTCGGGCCTCGATGCGCGAGCTCGCCCCCCGGCCAATCCGTGCACGGCCTTACCGTTTACCTTGCCCGCTTTCGCTCTTGCCTCGCTCCCTCCGCAATGCCCGCATGCACCTATTTTCTCGGCTCCGGGGTCAGCCCATTGGCTCTGTTCTTACAGAAATGTCACGCAGATTCACAGTCGCGCCCTTGAAAATGTCCGGGCCGGGGAAAAGCGTCGGATTTGGCTGCTGCAACGTGGACTCATCGAGACATGATGGCGGACACTTGGCCTGCATCGCGGCCCGCGCCTGGGTAACACATCAATCCGCGAATACCGTAAAGCGCGCGGGGACAAGGAGCAGGTTCGGCCCCACACCGAGGGCGCCCTTTCTCCCCCCGGCGGACTATGATGATGTTGTAAAATCACGGGACATTCAGCGGTCATCGCTGTAGCGATACCGGCTCATGGACGATTTGCCGCCAGGTTACATCGCCACTACAGTGCGCAGGCCACAGTGATTCTCACCCGTCGAGCCTCGTTTGTGTGCGTTGCCATCTCGTCTGCCTTATCTACATGCCTGCTTTCCCATGGCGCTGCTACAGCGTCGCCGTTCGGTTCCATCCCTGTACGACGTGACTTGATGGCGGGGTTCATTCTTTTGGTTATTTTATTGTGTCTCCTTCGAGTCCAAATCTACATGCTCCGTTTCGGTCACTTGCCAAATAATTTCGCGGGGCAGTTGTCTGGCGCGGTGGGCCCGGCGCCGGGCGGTGGGCCCTTTCGTGTTTGGTCGCAGGGTCGTGTTTTTAGGCGCTCGCAACACTCGCCCCTACCGAGTTCGCACGGGCTGGCATCAGCACGGACCCGAGCGAGCCCCTGACGTCAGGCCTGACACTGGATAAAAATGCTCTTCTTGCGGAAAATCTTCTCGTGCGATCTTGTGCCTGACGATCACATGACTAGCAAACAACTTTGGGACTCTGGCGGCTGCTTGTGGGGTCTGCCGGATGGTGTTCTTTTCGCAGTTTCGAGCAGTGTCCGTCGCCTTTTTCGGCAGCTTCCGTCCATGCTCTGTGACGGAAGAGTTTCTTCGGCAGCTGAAAGTGCACAAGTGTTCCAAGAGCAAAAACAAAAGAATCCCAGAAGCAACCGGCGAAGTAATGAAGAAGCAAACAAAATGAGAATACAGAAATAGCTGCATGAAGTGCGAACCTCAGTCCGGCGGTGAGTCATTGAATATGTGCAACATATTATTGTCTTCTACACCACTGCAATGAAAATCAAAATCTAAGAGCTAGATCTCCCAGTAAAGTGAACCACGAACCAAAAATATACATGACTGCATATTCCCCACGTGGATTGCTGGGTGAAGTCGAAGTGACTGTAACAGATTTTGAAAATCCAGAGAGCTCTTTTTTCTTCTTCTTTTTTCAGAGATTTGGACCTCTTGGCCGAAAAGACTTCCTCCTTCCGAGGTGGAAAGGAGAAGAACCAAGCCAGTATATTCGACTCACACAGCCAAGTGCTTTTTCAAGCGTTATCATAGGGGCTTTGCCCTCGGGAATGAACTTGCTTCCTCCCGGTACGAAGAGGTTAGGGCACAGAGGCATAAGTAGTTTAAAAAAAGCGAGGGACCAAGCAATCTGGCCAAAAGGATTTGAGGATCCCTCAAGCCGTGGAGAGGGTTATGAATAGAAGGACTCGTTTAGAGAAGGACACCAGATAAACAAAAGGCGTTATTTTGCTTTATTTTAAACTGATTTATTTATAGGATGCACTGGACATTGTTTTGGCAGCTTATGACTCGTGAGTATAAGTCGCTATTCTTTTTGTAACCTGTGAGCACCAGTCAACTTTCGCATTTATGGTGTTCTCTCAAAAAATGCCCCGTTGCATGATGGACGGAAAATTACGTCGAAAAAACAAGAGCGGGAAAAAGTGATGTGAGTGAAGATGGACTACGTGACTTTTATGGTCTTCGCATCCTTTGTCTATATTACTTGGTCCCCCTTTGCACTTTTACAATTAGAACCCTGTAGATAAGAACAAACTGACGCAGATGGTGTCATGCCATGCCGTATATCTCGACAGAAATCGCCCGATGCGTCCAAGAGCTCTGTCCGGTGACTCCAGCGACCGAGTCACCTTGATCCGCACCCCTGTCCATGGGATCAAGCTGGCCTCTTCTGCCGGAGTGCACAGAGTAGAGCCAGAAGGGGGATTCCCATCTTACCCGTTTGGTATCTTCTTCCCATTCTTTTGTTACTTTCCCATGTCCTCCTAGAGGGACTCAATGGTTCACTTGGGTAAAAAGGTTGTTTTCGAGGCAGACAATGTCACATCCTGCAGTAAGGAAGAAGGACTACTATGTACAGTAACTTGATACAACGATAAACAAGGCCTAATTGAAAGGTACAACGTTCAATTAGAAACATGTTAGAGCAGGTGACACACAATCACAAAAACATACCAGGACAAGGTACAACTTGAGTGTTCGGAGGTGCTTCGTACATGGTTTTCTGCATGAGTAATATAGCAAAGAGTATGAACCCATCATGTTGCATCTCAACGAAAGCAATAGTTATGATTCAAATACATGGAAATGCTAGTAATTGATTTTTTAACCTAGCCTAATGCTCCCATGCCGTGCACATATTACATAAATCTCTACAAAATAGTTCCTAATGTTATTTCCACTAGTGTCTTGATTATCAAAATTAATGTGTTTTAAAAGAAAGTTTCACTTCTCATGTGTATGTCTAGGCCAGTGTTTGTATCTTCACCTCCTTCAGTTGCCTGGTGTAGTTAAAGGGGGAGAAAGGGCTTTGGTCATAAGGCAAGCGCCCCTTACATTCATGGAGGCTCTGGAGTTTCGATCTAATTTGCTGCCGAGAGCAAAATTATCCGAATACTCTGCCTGGTCAAGGCGATCAAGATCCATGTGAAATTCTCCTGAACTAGAGCGAAGTAGTCGGAGTGTGCACTGCGTCCGCCTCGCTGACGGCGATGGACCTGTGGTCGCCAACTGTACTGTGCACAACTGTAGTATAGTCTCTGGATTCTGGAAATAGCTCACACATGCTTCCAACTATTTTCACGAGGACAAGGTCGGACTCGAGCTACGCTGTTAGCTTGTGATTATATCTACTCTTGTCAAGCTTAAATTTCCAAGATGAGGGTTTATGGTACTGCTGTCACTATGAGATAACTGTAGGTATTACTTGGTACACCTGTGACTAGGAAATGACAATCTTATAAATCTTTGTAAAGTAACATCTAGAAAATAAAAAAATAAAAATTTGTAATACTTTGCAAAGACCAGATGAGATGTTATTAGATTTCATTTCTTAAGGCAAAATTTCAACTACAGTCACACACCACTTAACATCGACAGATGTGAAAATCATCATACCGATATGCTTCTGTAATGTGCTGACCCTTACATGATTCGCATTGTGTGTTTTGATGGGTCCTAGGGCCTCATCCTTTGGTTTTTTATTTCTTACTTCTCTCTTACGGATGTCGTTATCACAACTCGAGACACTAACAGCCCGCTTGGCAATTGAATGCCCGCTAAACCCGGCATTCAATTGGTACATAGGTAATCCAAAGGGGCTGCTATGTGGTGGGGTGGGGGGTGCAGGGCAAAGACAACACTCTACTGTATGTACGGTGGTGGAGTTGTGATGCAATCACGTAGAAGACTGTACTATATTGTAATATCTACTGGACTGTACGAAAAGAAGCAAAGAGGCAGCGAATGAGGAATTAGGTTGGATATCTGAGGAGTGAGGACTACGTACAGCCCCGAAAGGAACCGTGTGTATGAGCAAAGCACGATGATGTCGGGAAGAAGAGGAAGAAGACCCAAGCTCGCAGTCGAGAGCGAGAGGTGGCTGCTGGCAGTCAGGCAGGCTGGGAGCTGAGGGCTGAGGCACTTGGCCCTCAGCAAGAGATCGTAGGTCGTTCGATCTTCGAAAATGCTGTCGTCGGTCAGAGGCGCATCGCAAGAGTCTAAGGAACCCATGACATTCCTGACATGTATTTCTGTGCACATATGAGTCCACGTAGTGACGACATGCTTCCAATATTCTCGTGCTCGCTTTTTCCTCTCATGCACCGCTGAGAGACTCGGCCAATTGTTTATAGTGCATATCGATCGAAAGCAGACATGATTGTTCTCGAGACCCCTCGCTCACATAAGGAACTAGGCAGCGCGAGTATTGTTTAATCATTTCGCCGTGTCATATGGTTGGACAGCACACGGATCCACAAATTGCATGAGATCACAATTCACCCCATTCCCCACCAGAACATTCATGTGATGAATATAGGCTCGAATGGCTTACTTGCACTTTCCTTGGATGTGAGCCTTTCGATATCGCCAGCCTCTCTTTTGGCAACATCTACTTTATTCTATTCATATGGTGTGTGCGTGCGTGCGTGCGTGCCTCGGTCACTCGCAGTCTCGTCCATCCGGGATACCTCTCCAGCAAAGGGCAGAGCGACGCACCATACGTTCTCAGGGCCGTGACAGGTGTACCCGGGGCCTTGCGATTTCTACATCCCTTCCCAACTTCACGGAGGCGCTCGCTCGGTTCATCTTATCCGGCTGCTCGGAGAAGTGTCAATGTCAGGTTGAGCACATGCATATTCGGTCGATGCGTCAATTTGTCTCAATCCGGCAGATGCCGCTCGGTTAGTGAGGCCGAACTCAGCCAAACAGTGGACTTGCAAAAGCAGTCGAGCGAATCTGCCGGGGCGCGAGCTTTCTCACGGAGCGACGGATTTGCGAGGACCCGAAGCGAAGGAGAGGCGGCCCGACCCATGGCTCCGGGAAATCCGTTTCGCTTTTGCATCCATACGTGTTGTGGTACATTTGTCTCACTTTCGGTCGACGACGAGCTCGGGCGACGCAAGCGAGAAGCGTCGCCATAGGCCGACCAGCCAGCAGCAAACAACACAGCGGAGTCCGGAGAAAAGGTCTTTCGGTCTTGCAGCACGGAAGATTCTTTCTTGGCCAGAAGGGACTCTGGAGTCCCGGATCTCGATCGCACCACCTCTCAGCCCCAACAGGACTGCCTGCTCCTGCTCCTGCCCCTGCTCCTGAGAGGCTTCTGTGAGGCGACCACCTTTACGCTTGCTTTATATTATTCCACAGGCTTTAGCGAGCTCCAGCATCAGCACCACACCACCGCCGCGAAGGCCGTCCGAAGGCCACAGGGTGAGACCTGGCCTGTCAGCTCGCCTCCCCTGCATATGCTCCCGCCATTCGTGAGATCCCGTATCTTCATCGTCCGCCTTCTAAATTCCCACCTCGGATTTGATGGTTTTCTTCAACTTTCCTCTTGCCAGCCGGTGGACCACGACGTATCACCGATCTGCGGCTTTCCTTCCTCTCTAAGCAAAGTCAAGGACAGCAAAGCAATGCTGGCTCGTACGAATGTGGCCATGTGCGAATTGAGAGCGTGTGAGCGGATCCCGCATTTCGAACCAGCCTGAGTCCAGCGTCCACGGTCCACGGATAGAGTTTGCATCTCTCTTCCGGTGCTCCTCCATAGGTCCGTGCATTTTCTCAATTCGCGACGCATGCTTCGACTCGGACCTACTCTCACTTAGTACCTCAGTCGGCGGAAGCAAGCATGTCGTTCTTTCCTTTCAAGCCTCCCACAGCCTCCAAAGTTCCACTCTTCCAAACTCTGCGGGAAGTAGTTTCGAACGTATCATACCACAACGCAAATTATTCATTCTTGTAGACATGCTCGAGGTTTTGCAAATGCTCTTCAAATTATGTCGTGTACATGTATCCTGTGGTATAATTGCCCACTGACAGAACCAATCAACCAAACTTTCAGTTAATGGTCCAATTTCACAGCAGACAATACAACGTTCGAAGACTTGTCTTGAGTACATCCGAAAAGGCTTCATCCACATCCACTGTAAAGTTCGCGGTGGTAGTTCCATTCAAGAACTCTTAACAAGGAAGTGTCGGTGCAGTACCACTTCAAAGTACATGGAAGGAAGTGATTCTAGTGATTCTGGTAATGACGAGTGTCTGTCTATCTTCGTTAGTAGGGACAAATGAAATTATTATCAAGTTTCCAGTTGTAAACCGTCTGCAAACCAGCCACTTACAGAGAAGTCTGGTGATTCTCCAGGAGATCTTCATAGGTTGAAATGATAACCACATAAGACGGGTGTGGTGCTAGAGACAATATTATTGATAATCTTACGCTTGCAAACGCTTTCTGGAATGAAAGTCAATGGTGGCCTTCTTAGAGAAAGCTTTTCGAAAACTGAAAAGCAAAGAGAGGCGTTTGCTACATTATTGTTTGGAGAGCATAGTAAATTCAGAAACAGTGTTGTATGTGAACGTATGTACTGATTCAAAACCTTCTCAAAAAAAAACTGCACGTTCCTTGTGATGACACCAGTAGCCTCAAGAAGAAAGTCTAAGGGCTGTTCAGAGAGTAACCCACGAGGGAAGGGACCAAATCCAGGAACTTATCCGACGCAGTATCAGGTGTCGTCAAGGCAAGACACCTGTTGAGAACTCATCTGACCTCCTTTGGCTGATGAGATGTAGACCAGGAGCATGTGGTGGTTGTACTTCCGAAGCATGTGTATTCACTACTTCCATGCATGCGTTTCAACGTACAGAATTGATTTGCTCATAACTTAACCAGAAAAAGCAAGTTCTTCTGTTCCGGGTCGAGATGCAAAATACCACCGGAACTGAGGCGAGGATCGGATCTTAATTCCGAGTGGACTATTCTGATAGAAACATGAGCGCACTGTTTTGAGAGTAGACTGGACGATTGAATCATTGACACTGCACCACTTCAGACACAGACATTTGTACACTACCCATCAGCCCATCATGTGAAGGCAGACATCCTGTAAACCTAAACCACAAACTATTCCGAGTTCGTTGAGGACGATACGGCTCTTGGCAGGGCAGGGCAGAGCAGAGTAGAATGTTCGGACCGTCTGCACACCTTCACATCGTTCGTCATCCGGGTATATCCTAAGCGCCTTACAATGGTCACACATAATCTGACAACTGCCAAACGCTGGTGTTTTCAGATCGTGTGGAAGACCACATTCTGTTTCAACACAGCTGGTTTCATATGCGTCGGACTGCATTGGCTGCCTTCCGGCTGGGAGGCGTTTCACTGTTTAGAAGCGTTCGGCATAAGCTTCTTGTGGCTGACACCTGCGTTCGGTGTTCAGTCACCGAACGCGTCTGGCTAGCCGCGCATGAATTTGCCTGTCATTCTATCGACCCGTAGATTCTATATTCATGTTTACATCATTCACGTTCTCTCGAATCCTAGTCATGAGCTGCTGCGGCTTCAGCTGCATAAACCGCACTTAGACATTCCTTGACATACAAAAACTGGTCCCGTAATCATGGCAAAGCAGACAATCGTCAGCTTTAGCATTGCAGAGTTCTAACCGGGCATTGAAGTGATCCTGGTGTGGCCGGAAGAAACCCAAGTTTGCCACTGAAAAAGATGAAGAGGATTTCAAAAGAGGATGGCAAATGTGTGCCAATCGAGCTCAAGACGAATAGACCGCTTTTTCTGGAAAGTAGAAGGCTGGTGGGAGGGACCCAACGTTTTCTCCGTGTATCCACAGTGACCGACCTTGCAGAAAGAGTCGTGTCCACCAGAATCCGTGTTCCGGCCAATGTGGGTAAACTTCATCGGGATTGTTCTGAGTGCCAATCTTGAATCCATCTCCAGAAAACTTCAGGTGTTCTCGGTAGATAAACCTTGTAAGCGTAGCTATTGTTGCAGTACGCGTGCAGGAATGCGTCTTAGCTGCCAGCGACAGTGCTGTGTGCACGATTCCCTTGAAACAACGGAACAAAATCGAACTTAACGGAATATGTTGGTTGTAAGGAGATAATGACATTGTTAAAAACGTTCAGCTATTGCAGGTTTTGACGTTTCACAACAATATTCATATTTACTCAAAACATCCCAGATTTCAACCCAAGTGGAGTGAAAATTCGAGTAAACTGTTAAACGTCACTATTATAAACTTTCTCTTTACGATATAGCGTGGTCTCTGATGGAGGTCCAAATCCGAGTCTTCAGCTAGGAGTTTTGTCGGAATTGTCCTTTATGGGTGGTAAATTGCAGATTGGTGAGCACGATGATGCCTTCGGCTTAAAAAGCGTAAATGTGATTCTCCTCATCTCCGTTGGACCATATGCTTCCGTTACAAACATCACCTACATCCAACAGTACAACTGGTGTAAGGCCATCGGCTATATCTCGTATTGCTGGGGTTGTGAGATAGTTTCACCAATGCTCTTCTCCTCTGAGACTATGATCGAGTGCATGCGGCATTTTCCAGGTTATGGATAGCTATGAACCTTGAATGTGCGGAGCAAAGGATTAAGTCATACTCTCGAGTGGTGACCACTTACAAGTTACATGACGACCAGACATGACACAGTTCATTACCTTACATTCCTTCCATCCAATCAGATACATCTCTGCCTCTTCACACACTGCCAGGGTCGACATCGGATTGAAAAGGCCCTAGCAGATGATCAAAATTCTCATGATGTGTACTGCGGTGTGAATCCGAGACGTAACAGAGGGTCTTAAGTGGATGACGGAGTACAACTATCACCAAAGTGGGAATGGAGCTTTGGTATTTCGGCTCCAAGACTTTGATGGCTCATGCAGCGTCTCACGACCATACCCATTTCAAGTCTTCAGCAAGCAAAGCCGTGAGAGCAGCTCGAGAGAGGAGGCATTGAATGTCGCATGAATCTCGATGTCCTAAAATGAGTCTTGCACCGCCTTGATTGGCAAGAACAACGACAAAAACCTGAACGGCCTCTGGCGGCTGCTTCGAACAGGTGTGTTGTCAGACCGTCATCGACTGGAGTGTGGCTTACAGCCTCGCGCTCAGGGGGTCAGAAGAAGCAAGACTTCCGAAACATTCGGGAAACTGATGAGCGAAATGGGAACGACACAGCTGTAGCAGGAGGCAAAGAGGGACCCTGTACAATTCCAAACCATTAGAAGAACCACTCACACCAGTCCCTCAAACCTGCGGAAGATTTGCAACTAGCTTCGTGGCATAACATTTAGACCGACGATATTCGGGAGAGCTTTACAAGACTTCCGAAATGTGGTTGTATGCTACACAAGAGTGTCCGTGGGTTCAATTGGCTTTATTGGATTCAAATAATGAATAGACATGTGGCTGATCGGTCGGTCGGTGCGATGGTTAGAAGGGTAGGAGGACGTCGTCGGTCGGTCCGGGGGGAGGGGGCGTTGGCTGATGTTCAAAGAGTGAATATGGCAGGCATTCTGATGAGACAACAAAAGAATGGTCCCGACTTCTAACAATTGAGGAAAAAATGATGTTAAATGGGGGCTTCCCAACTCTACGCTCTCGATCTCTCGTTCTCGTTACCGCTCTTCAGGAGTCCGCGATGCGGTCACGACTTCTCGCAGGGGAAGCGACCCAGAATGCTCAAGGGGGCCCGAGCCCTTGGAGCCTTTCTCAAAGCTGCTGGAGGAGTGCGGCGTGATGACCACGGGAGCGGCCGTCACGTCCAGCGACGATTCGCCGACCATTTGCGGGCGCCCGTAGCCTTCGTCGTCCGACGAGTTGTCAGACAGCGAGTCGTCCGTGTAGCCGTGCTCCTCGGCCGCGCCGACGCGCGACGGCGCGCTGGAGCTGTGCTTGCGCCGCGACGCGCCGCCGCCTTGGCCCAGGTTGCTGGGCACGGGCGACGAGATTTCCAGCCCGGGGTCGGCGGTGGTGGCCTCCTCTTGCTTCCTCCAGCGCGGGAAGCTGGCCTTGGCGAGCTCCCGCAGCATTTTGAGCTCGCTCGACTTCGGGTCGGCCTTCACGCCGCGGGTCGACCGCTTGCCCTCCATGGACCGCGACCGGTTCCACTGGCTGCTCCAGGCCGGCTTGTCCTGCCGCGCCATGGCCATGTCTGCTTTGATCTCCCCGCTCGTCACGGCCTGCTCGGTCGCGGCGTTCCGCGGGTCCACGAACGCCGGCGACCCGGGATCGTAACCGGGGATCGCCGGCTCCGGGCCGGTGGCAATGAGCGGGCTCCCTTGCTGCACCGACGTGCTCCGCCGTGCTCGCTCCAGATCCGGTTCCGGGCTCATGGGCACGACCGGGACGAGGCCTGTGCGAGGCTGCGGCGGCTGCGGGCTGATGAAGCGCGACCAGTGCTTGCGCGGGATGAAGGGGATGACGAGGCCACGGCCGAGCAGCTTGAGGCCGAGCTTGAGAGATGGCTCCTGCGACGGCGAGAGGCGCAGCAGTTGCTTCATCAGCGCGTACCATTCGTTCACTAGTTGTGCGACGAAGCTGAGCAGCAGCAGGGCCAGCAAAAATATGCCCAGGCCCAGGTAGTCATCGGCAGGATGACCCAGGGCGAGCAGGGCGACGGCGGTGGCGAACAGGCCCGTCTCGCACAGCAGCGAGATGCTCTCGACGACCTGCACGCCCCGTTTGATGAAGGGCTTCAGCGTGACGAGGTAGACCAGCTGGAACACGGTGACGCCCAGCGCGATGGACACTTGGACCCACGACTCGTCCGATCGCGCGAATGCGCCGAAGATCACGCCGAGCGTGATCCGTCTCGCAATGTCGACGATGAAGTAGGACGCTTGCGCTCCTCCGAGCAACTTCTTGTACCAGGACACCGCGACTTCTTCGCTTTCGTCGTCCGAGTTCACGGCTCTCATGCGCCCGATTCCGTTACTTCCGCTCTCGACCCACTTGGGAAAGCTTCCGCTCTGGTCTCCGTCCAGGACGATCAACTTCGGCGGCCCCTTGCGATCCTCGAAAAAAATTCCATACCTCGGTACAAATGTGGGCGCCAGGCCATCCTTGCGAACCCATTTGAATATCACGTTCGGGCCAGCCACAAGCTCCACCAGCTTGCTCCGCCACGAACGAGCCTCGTCCTCGCCTCTCGGTCTCACCACCTCCTTATATTGCACAAGTGATCCCATGAAAACTGCTATAATGAGAAAGAGGACGATGGACAGAAGATAGGCTGCGGGTATTGCCAACAGCAACACCCCGATAATGATCCCCAGAATCGTGCCACCTGCGGTCGACCACAACTCGACTGGGTTAGGGACGTCTTTCACGAGCCTTCGATTGATGGACATATACTAATGGAAGAATGTGGCTTGCAAGAGTCCGACGGAGACGCAGACACGGACACGAGAGGATCATGAGCGTCACACAAGAGCGTCATGACGTCCCGAGTCGAAGGGGCGACCTTACCTCGGATGATGAAGGCCGAAGCTTGACACATGCAAGGAATTGCCAGAACCAGTAGGAAGAGTTCGAATCTGGGAACTGTCAGCGCTCCCCTGACGGAGGTCTTCGTCCTCCATCTCAGAAACAGCAGCAGGAGTACGTGCAAGAGTATGAGACCGCCTCCTACAGCGCCCAGCCAAAACATGTTCCTTGCGAAGTCCCGCCACCTGAGTTGTGAACCTCAAGTATTCAGGATCCTCAGACAAATAGCGTCGGAAACCGCAAAATTATTCAGCATTGTCATTGTGGTCGAACTTCTATACAAATGAAAGCGTTGAGTCTCTCCGATTTCTTACCCTGTGTACTTCGTCTCATTGAAGATGGCATCCAATTCGTTGTTTGACACTCCACTCTGCAGAAGGGAAACAGAGCCACACTCGGTTCCGTGAGTTTGTCCAGCTACAAGAATCACTGACAATAGCACAGTGACGATTACGTCCTTCCGTCATACAACTAGACATCCCAGGGTCATGGAGATCGAAGTCTACCTCGAAATACAGAGAATACTCGCTGGGCGTAAGAGCAGGCCCGAAAAGAGTCATGTTGGTGCCGAGGCGTCTTCTTCCGCTGCGACTACGGTCAATGCAACTGGCGACAGCCCTCGTCTCGTTCCAAAAGGAGGGGGAAATCTGCCCACCTCGGAGGTGGCCGGGGACCGTTTTTTTCCTACAATGTGATGGGAACCGGGAGCCCAAGCACTCCGACAGTTCGGTGGTATGGAATCGGGCGTTCCCTCCAAGCAACGAATTCTCGACTATTTTGGCACTTTCATACTCTGCTTGCAACCGGACAAATTCCCCATCGGACAGCAATGTACGTCTTGCTCTGACGCTCGCCCGCATCATTGGAGTTTGTGGCTGAAGTTGACGCTCGAACAGCGGGTTTCTCACTGACGTATAATTGTGCTGGCTTTGCCAAGGTGGATTCACATGAGGTATGAGCCACCTCAGGCCCCTCGTCGTTTCTCTGTATTCGACCGGCAAGCTTACTGCTAGCCAGTCAGAAAGAGCAAACACTTGAAGATGAGTTGCCATACCCTGCATTCAGAGGTCGAAGTGAAGAAGCGAAGTCAGAAGGTGCTGGAGACAGAGCCAGGAGTAATCATGGAATGCAGTGCGCAGGACTCGGACAAGTAATTTCCAGTCTGCTTACCAAGAGATTTCTTGATGCGTCGGCACCGACGTACCCCGTGGATCGACTGGTCAGAGCGCCTGCTGCAGCGAGAGTTGCTTGAGATATGGAAAGGGCTCCAGAGACCAAAATCGTAGCGATGAGACCAGCGGTGGTGAAGGAAGAAAGAGCAACGGCGGCGGCCGGAACCGTGTCTGAACACGCATTCCACATGGTAACCGCAGTTAGGCCTGACGATTAGCATCCAAGTAAAGTGACGTCGATGAACTGATGATAAAAGAGCAGTAACGACGCTCCTGTGACTGGCGATGACGGTCCAACTCTCACATTGCACAAAATCTGATCGAGCAAGCAATGAGACTTACAGTGCCTCACACGCAGAACGTTGGATGGCAGATTTGGGTTCACAGAAATATCGTAAGTGACATTCTCGCCCACGCTGACTGAGACAACGTCGTCGTTGTCGATATAAACCTCCAAAGCGTACGTACTTTTAGAGACCTCATCAAATCTGCAGGAGTTCCAGAGTGTCATCGTTCGTTAGGGAAGTCAGGCTAGGAGCAAATCCGTGACGATGACTCCCCAGGACAGAACAAAAGTACTTCTCTGTCCGCCTTGCGTGAACTCTACCCCCAAGCTACAAGATTCGTTGAGAAACTGATGAAACGGAAGGACGGCGAGTGCTAGTAAGACCGAGGAAGCCTCTGAAAAAAAATTGACACGAGAAGCAGAAGATCATCCACCTCGTCAAATTGCCGCCAGATATTGTGACATTGGTTAAGCCGAAGACAAACACGGGTTTGGAAAATTGTATCAAGACAGGAACGAGCTGGTTCTTGGTTTTCGCGAGGGAAGTTGTGCTGACTGTCACCTCGGGACGCAGACTGTCTGAAAGTAGGTACATGCAACAGACAGAAAATCAATGGACCAAATCAGAAAAGTTGATTAGCAAATCAGCCCTCCCACCCGCACTAGTATACGAAATGTAAAGAAGCTATTTAAGAGTAGCAAAAAGTACAGCATGCTTTCGAAGGTACGCAATGCCACAGCTGCGGCCTTCATATAACCACATCTAAAAAGTGAGATGTACCATATAAGAATGTGACGTTCACCGTCGACACCACCGGTGAACCAAATCTGCTGAACGAGGAGTTCGCAGGGAGAGTTACGGTAATAATCGATACACTGGAGACGTTACTAATCTGCAAGACATGAAACAGAGCCCTCGTAAGGCAGCTAGCCATAGATCCACCAGAACCCCTCCCATTTGCCACTAACTCTGATTATCTTCAAGGGAATTCGTTATCAATTCGCGGTCTAACTCGGCAGTGATGATAATGAGACAGGTGTGAAGTTTCAGAAACCTAAGATCATCCCCGTGAGGTCCTCAACTCAAATGAATGTGTCACGGAGCATCAAGACATCATAGCTCTGACCGTGGGGTTACGGATGAGCATAGATGTCGCATATCCCAAACTCTTCTGACATCCTGAGACTTAAATGGCTGTCAGAAAAAGCCAAAGGTGAGATGTGATAGCCAGGAGGTCACGAGCGCATACCAGAAAACCAAATCGTCTATTTCCGCGACTTTTGCGATTAGTAGAGCTTAGAACACCGTCTGTAGTTTGAAGTAAATTCAGCAGCTGCGCAGTAGTGGTAACCATAGATTCAGAAAAGTCAAGATAGACAATAAGATCTTCAGATCTGTTGGTTGATGAAATAGTCCTGTACTCATTATTAATCTGCACTTGCGCATCTTGGATGGGTGTCCACATGTTGACAGTAGGAATCGACCGGTCTGCATGGACAAAGGTCCGGTTAGAATAGAAGGAATAGACGACTCTTCTCATATAGAGTACCAGTCCAATTGTATCACAACGGTATCATTAAGCGAATCCAACGAGAAAGAGCCTTGAAACGGATGAGCAGAGAGGAACAGAAGCATCAAAGGTACTTGGATCGCCGCCTACTATTTCAGCATTACAGCAGGATTCCAAAGAAAGTGGTATCACCTCCCAATTCTACATCAACAAATGAGCTACGACATTCCACAAATTTCATCACATACCAAATCGGATAGTGAAGCTGGAATTCTCGTTTCTCTGAAACACGTTGCCCGCGACATCAGTACAAAAGTCTCGCTGCATTGTAACAAGCACTTTCCCAGAAATCTGTTCACTGGACAGTGCTACTGTGAGGGTGTAGAGGAGTCCAGGATTAAGGGTTCTCAAGGTGGAAGGTAGTACAGCCCCTGGCCCCCCAACGTAAACCTGATAAGACCATAAACAGCGAACTACCATTAGTCTCTTTCCCTACACTATTTATAAAAAAATCTCGTGTGAAAACAACGCATGAAAAAAAAGAGTTCCATGTCCTTCGACGACCACGCTACTCCGTGGTCGGAAAGAGAAAGATGATGAGTGGGTTAGAGAGTTGACAACTCTCCACGACATAGGAATATGAGTGGCAGGATTGCTACATGATATAAGTAAGGAAACAGAAGCTCCAGAATCTAATATGCTGCAGGATGAGAAGTTGAACGCTGAACTGGAACCATGTCATTGCAGACCTGAATGGACCCTCGCAAGGTAGATAGTAAGCATTACAACCGACAGACTTCGTCGAGAACAAAAATATTTAAGCGGTTTGCACATTTTCGCTGGGTAGCAGTTTTCGAAGTACTTCCTTACGACGAGTACCAGATAAATGATTCAGACAAAACGGCGTGCAGAAATGAAGATTCAGCAAAAAATCGAAGCAAGGAAGGAGACATCGTCAGACTCATTCATGGAGGCAATGCTAAACACTCACCGAACAATTCGATACATCGCTACACTGAAAGCCACCATTTCCGGTGCAAGGCTCGCTGAACTCGATGGCCACAGAAACGTTGATGGCATTCGTGAAAGCCGGGCCAGCCTCGATGGAAGCCGTCGGGGGTACGGTATCTGAACAATACAGGAGACAAGGTGAGACGACCGGAATGACATGGATCTCCTCATCGGGCCAGAGAAGAGCCTACATGGCCTTTGAGGGCCGTAGATGAAGACAGCCTTCAAATTGAGACGTGAAGCTTAAACAAAAGAAAAAGGACAGTGAAGGACTCACCGACTGTCCAAAACTGCTTGTTAGTGTAGAAAACTCCCTTCGAGGTGCTCGCAAATATGGTAAATACATGGTCCCCATCGGAGAGGTTGGAATAAACGCGGACACGGTCCGCGCAATCGACGAACGGAGCATCATCCAGCTGCAGGCAAGGACCTTGCCGTATGAGAGAGGTTCAATTGAGTCCAAAAAACCAGAGACAGCTATAAAGTTTCTTAAACCTTCGGAATAAAGTTCACTGAAAAACGCAATGGCCGACCGGGAATCTTTAGCACTCCCAGCGGCAATCATATGCATCATAAATGCTTTCCGTGCGTACCTCGCATTGCACAGCACAGTCTGCTCCACAAGGATTGCTGCCGTTTGGGGCCACGAGGGCAAACCTGAAAGTAGCTGTCGTATTGGAAGTTACATTAGGAGGTCTCTCCGAAAATATGAAAGCAGGAGTGTCCTGCCCTTCAACTCCACTGAGGCAGCAGAGGAGGGCCAATACCACTACCAAACCGGAACAAAGGAGACCTCCTGTACGGAGATCCATGCAATTGAGAAGCCACCGTTCGCTTTTCTTCATTTCAAAACTTTACCATTAATACCAGAATCTGTTCCCAATGTAATGTACATTCTGCAACCTGGACTAACATTTTTGGTTGCGCCGATTGCTCGGTCTATATGGAACAATATCGGCCTTGACTTGAACAAAGGGGTAGAAATGGGACCTCAAACACTCATCTACAACCGACATTGATCCCGCTGACACTCCACGCTCGTCCCGAGCGCCAGCAACTTCCACCTTTCCCTCATTGACCAGCCAACCGCTACAGAGGTAACACTGTCGAATCGTTGCAATTTCCACGTTCGTATTGGTAGAGGAAAAAAAAGGCAGAGTCTCCCTTTGCTCCTGTCAGTCCTTCTAAACCTCTGAAGCACTCAGCACTTCTACCAAGTCCCCGCCTGTGACTGTCACTGTCGGTGTCAGCCACTGCAATGCAAGGCACTGGTCTCGAAACTACTGCATATAGTTCCAGCAATGCGGGACTTATCTCTAACGCCTTTCTGTCCATCGTACCCGTCCCATTCACCTGTTGCAGTGCGCTGCCCTCACAGCCCAGAAAATGGAGCTCATTGTCGTTTCCTCAAAACCTTTCAACTACTAGCGCATCATGCCCCATTCCCCGACCCTGCGATATCCACTGCTGCCAACGCCGCCTGGATTCCCCTCCACCTCTGCTGCACGCTCTCTACTCGACACACCGACGGGGAACACCTGTAACCATCGAACAAGCCTGGAGATCGCAGAAAGATGGTGCTCTCGAGCGCGCAGACAGGATCCAGTTCCGGGCGATCTCGAGACCAACCCAGACCGACCCTCAAGGAGGATGGGCTTTATTCGTTGGTGTTATTGTCGTTCCTCGAGCTGTTGCTGGTGCTGGTGCTGACGCTGGTTGCGTACTCGTGCAGCAGAGCTAGCAAACCGTCGCAACTTTCTACTACGTTCTCTTCTCGTCCGCTCTAGCTCCTCTCGAGTTTGGAGCCCAGAAGAAGTGGGAGAACCTCGGCTGACCGGCATGCGGGTGCAGCAGCAGCAGCAGCAGGCGGACAACGGAGGGCGAGCACGCAAGCTCGAAAGGGCCAGAGGGCAAGCGCTTGACGTTGGCGCTTGTTGTCACATGCTCCCTCCACACCCCTCCCTCCCTCCCTTCTCCTCCTCGTCTTCAAACTAACATAAAAATGCACCGTCGCCCGCTGCAACTCCAACGCTCCTCTCTTCCCACCCTTCCCTCCCTTCCTCCCTCCGCAATGTCGGCTCCGCAAACAGGACAGAGGATCAACAGCTCCTACTTACTTGCTTCCTTCCTTCCTTCCGTCCCTCTCTGGACTTCCTTCCTTCTCTCTCTCTCTCTCTCTCTCTCTCTCTCTCTCTGAGCTTCTCCGTCCCTCTCTGGACTTCCTTCCTTCTCTCTCTCTCTCTCTCTCTCTCTCTGAGCTTCTGCGCTCTCACGTCAGCTGCAACCAAAACACACTGTGGCTACACAACAAGCGCGAACAGAACAGAGCACAACGTCACGTCACATCACATCTCATCCCATGAGCCAGCGGCCCACCATCCATCACCCGATCGCGGCCTCGGGTCCTTATTCCACTATACAGCACTAGGCCACATCCTCCTCCTCCTCCTCGCGATTCAAATTCGCTGCGTTGTTTGCCCCTCCTCAACATTTGGAAATGCCAACTGTTGCTGCTCGTCTCGCTGACTCCCACCGGACCGACCTCCTCCCTCCGTCTATCGTCCCAGTTCGGTTCCTCCCGTCCAGTCCCTATCTGCAGTGGATGTATGTCGTAGCTGAGCCCACCGGGACGGGACTGGAATCGACCTGGAGCCCCAGCAGGCTAGATCAGTAGCTAGCACAACAACAACAACAACAGAGGAACTGCATCTGATGCACCGAAGATCCTCTCTCCCGCAGCGCAGCCAAGCCCAAAAAGCCACAGCCTCAGCCAATGCCAGACCACCTGTGGCCGACCCTGTCCTCCGCCGCTGACTGGGTACTGGTCACCGACTGGCCCATGAGGTGAAAGTCAGAGCGAGCGAGATGCAGATGTGAGAGCACTGCCCTGCCCGCCCGCCCGCCCGCCCGAGGGACCGTGCTCCTTCATGCCGCTCGCTCGCTCGGGGTTCCGGTGGGGCCGCCGGGCTCAGCATCCGAGCAACCCGCGACCGCAATGACATTTCTCGGTCACCCATGTCTTCGACGGCAGCCTGGAATCTCACCGATCGGCGCTGCGCCGGGCGGGCTCCGCGTGAGCTCGTCGGTGGCACGGCGGGCCGGATACCGGGCACGTACTGTCAGCGGGGATTTTTTTGGCGCGTGGCAGGATGCGAGTGGATCGAACCTCAGAGGGCAGCCTGGGTCAACTGGCCGAGACCGCTGGATGGATGGATGATGGATAATCGAATGTTGAGGTGGGTGGCCGGACTGGACTCAGAACTCTGACTGACTCCCTGACGCACTGCCCTGGCCTGCGATAAGACGAGGCTGCGTCGTGGACGGGAATGTTAACGCCGAGATCGATTGAGGCATCGGGACGTCTAAAGAAAGCAGTCCCCGTCCCCGTCTTGGCTCCGGTGGGCCCGGCCCCGGTCCATTTACGGTACGGTGAGGTTTAGGCTCGTTGGCCATCCGCCGGAGAGCCAGGAGATTTGTCTGAACACATTATTGCAGTCGCAAGAGACGAATTGCCAGTTCACGCGACGCTAAGAGACGACGTAAATAGGCGATTCAGACCATTTTCAAATCGAGATGTGTTCGGAGTGCAATATTCACAGATGCCTTCGTTCGCATAAATGTGGTTGGATTCGAGTGCCTGCGCTCATATCACGAGCAAGCTAGCTCGAGTCCGTAGGTTCCTTTCCCGGGATTGGTACGGGGGATATGCATCATACGCATGGGAGCAGCGAAAGGAGCAGTTTCAATTCTCCACGGCCATGGCCATGGCCGTCGGGCCTTTAGCTCTTGATTCTTCGCCTTCTGGATTCTTCTCTTCCTCGCTCTCATAATGTTCGTGTTTTGAATGCTCGCCCTCGTTTACCACTGGCCTTACCGTCTCGACGAATCCTTTGAAAAGCGAACTGCCCATGCTCTTTCGTGAGGAGGGGCACTTGGGGTGGGTCTCGTGACGCCCAGAGTTGCATAACAGACACGAGTGCCGACGAGCTCGTCGCGCGGAGAGAATCGGCACGAAGCGTCGAACGTCCGCATCGCAGCACATCGAGCTCGAAGTCAAACGCTGAATCTTTCAACGGGCCATGCGAAATTCGGAAAGCGGGAACCGGATGCTGCTCTCCTCGAACAAAGTCATAGATCTCGGACCCGAACGTGCCCAACGAATTCCCCAGTTCCAACTCCTAAATTCGGACATCAGCCGCAACAAATCCGATCTGCCGCTGGAAAAGGGCCCCAGCCGACTTATGGGACGCCCTTGAGTGTCCCACCGGCCTTGCACGGTTCCGCTTTCCTGCCCCTGTGCAGTGACCCCTGAATCGGACGAACCCATCCAGACGCACACACAGACATCGGTGCACGTACGTCCAAAGCCATCCCGAAAGGGAGTCAAAGCCCGCGTCGATTGCGGTCAAAGCTCGAGACGTCGGATGGTTCTGTACTACGTTACGGCCCGCCTCCCCCAACCATGTTCATCCAACAGTCCCAGCTCAGGGCATCGGTAGATTCGGCATTGTCCTCTCCCGGAAACACTGTGTACACGGAGCCGGCCCGTCCCGGTCCAGGTCCAGTCCATCCAGTGATTACAGTCCCGACTCGGTCGACACAGTCGAACCCCGAACAAGGCTCGAGATGACCTGTCGCCCAGCCCTCCAGGCCCCCAGGAGGAGGCGTCCTCCAACCCGTGACTCTGTACGTACACACGAAGGTGCTGTAAACTAAGCGAGCAGCACCGGGGACGGAGTGTGCCAGCCCTTGTCTCGGAGGCCGACATATTCTTCAGACTCGACTGTATACGTTTCGAGGAGTAGCGTCCTGGAAAGTAAACGTCGCGACGTGACGAGAATTGTTTATGTGGCCTTTTGCTGCGTGCAGTAAGTAAGTAGCACGGAGAAAACTGGGCAGTGATTCAGTGAAGAGAGAGGGCGAGAGGGAGAGAGTTCCATTCCCTTGCAGCTACAGAAAAGTACACACTACACTACATTACACAACACCGGAGCGGACCGTACTGGAGGGTGATGCGGAGGGTTCTGTAGTGGAGTAGTCAAATGTAGGAGAAGGAGTAGCGCTGGGCTTCTATCCGAATGGCGATGGGGATGGGGGGTTGATAACGCAGACAGGTACCGGGAGCGAGTACCAAAAGGCATTAGTACTTTGGACCCATGTGAGCGCAACTTATTAATACGTCGCGCAAAGGGTCGGGGCGGCCTTAGCGTGGAATTGATGAAGCGCATTCATTTGCTCGGCCTGCAAATCTCCAGAGTGGGCCATGGTTCATGATCCCTCTGGCTCGCCGTACCTGGACCGTTGGTTTGGCGCCAATCTTTTAAATGGCGTCATTAGTGCCTGCACGAACATTATGTGCAAAACCCATGCACTTGTGAAGCCGGGCTCACGGTGCGCTCGAGCCAGACTCTGTTGCATCAACTTCCCTGGCGACTTAAAGCGGGAGCCTCCAAAATGCCACCGCTGCTAGTTCAACGGGGAATGACTCCAGAGTCCAGAATGCCGACTGCGGTCGTGTTGCACCTCCCATCAATTCGCGGCAGTCTTGAGTCCAGGCTATCTCTCCACGACTGCCGGTCTCTTAATGGCCAGGCGACGGACGCCACCCACACTGCAGCCAAAATGGCACCATCGCGGCACCTCCAAAGCTCCGAGCGACTGACCCAACGCTGGATGATGAGCTAGGCTGCGAGCAGATTGTGGTCAAAAGCGAAAGTGGCCCCTGCCACGAGTTCCTGGCCGCAGGACGAGCTCCGGATCCGGAGTGCTGCTGGAGTGCTGAGGCAGCGGAGTAGGACGCACGCACATGATGCTCCGAAATACTGCCTACCTGAGCATGCAGCATTGCAGATCTCCCCACATCTTTCTCGCGTCGATCCACAATTCATTCGGTTCCCATTTATGTGACCTTGTCTCACTCCCCGGTCTCAGGACGGGCCGAGCTTGACAGCAGACTCCATCACCTGTCCTCCGAGCACCACGTACCCGGTTGCGTTTTTCGAATCACTCGTCGCAAATCATCCACAGTTCTTCCTTCCTGGACAGTCCGTACTGGCACTTGCTACTGCGATTCGCGCTGTCACACTGCAAGAGTATTGATCACCGTATTATGCGCCATGCGGGACACAACAGGCGCAGGCGCAGGCTCATCTCCTCCTCGGTTTACTCATGAGTAACTCTGCTCGCACAGTCATGTGCACCCGCTTTTATGTACTGTAGTTCCGATTCAATCAATTCGACCTCATGTCATATAATGTTCTTGGCCTCTACCTACCACGTTACAGTCTAAGTAACGCGCAGCAGAGTTGGGCTCGTCCAGGCTCGGGATTGCAATGTAGCACGCAAGAACGAGACCCCCTGGAGGGCGTTCTTTTGCTTAACGATTGCGAGCTTGAGACTGATTGCCATCGAGCTGGAGAATCATTGCATTGCGTTCATTTGCAATCTGTTGCCAGCCTGAAAGCATTGCAGTTCTTCTGGGATCCGGGACAGAGAGTTGCAGATTATTCTCTGCCACTGATTGCAATCTGCACCCGATCTTACCCAGCCACGAACCAATGACATTCGCGCAGTGAGTACTAGCCCACAGCTGTAGAACTAGGATGACTCTTGCATACCGTCTCCCTCATATTCTGTCGACCTGCGGACGGATGGATACTCCCGATCGGCGGATCCCAGCACGCGATTTTGAAACTCAAATTGTGATTCCAGTGGAAATTTCTCCACTAATTTTGCTCACGATTAGCATCCCGTCACTGCTTAATGGGCGAATTCATATGCAAATCCAAAGTCCAAATCTACAGCGTACACCTCCCTTAAGTGCTTCGCACTGTCAATCTTCCAACAGTTAAAGGGCCCGAGTACAGCCACGCCTCTGCCAAAGTCTATACGCCTCTGCTGGTCGTTTTGGCTAACTCGCACGAAATCAGTTGCCCATCACTAGACCACAGTGTATAATCCAGACTAAATATTTCACTCTGATAGTTCTTTATTTGCAGCATTTTTATTGCATTTACAGCGCATTTTGCTAACGTCTTTTCCAACAGTATGAGAACTGTTCAATAAAAATCAAAAATAAAAAGTACGAGAGCTGCAGGACTCTGGTCTTCGGACCAAAGTAGAACCATAGAGGCACCATTCCAGGCTATCCAGTACTGTACTTAACCAACCGAGGTAGATTCATGTGGTACGGTA